ATTTATACTTAAGTACTTACATGTACCGGTACTTAAAATATAAAGCTTTCCAATGTTGTACATTCAAATTAAATGGAATCTGAGGAATTTCCATATTGTAAAAACCTGCAGATTGGATATGATTTTAAAGTGCTGTGAAGGAAGTTGAAGAGGTAAACTCCCAATTTTCCACATTATTCCACCAAATAACAAACCATCTTGTGGGAAAGATAATCCCAGCATGTACATTAGAATTTGCAACTCAACATACTGGAGGCATATCTCTACTTCTATTTTAAATTGAGATCTGATGTGCATTCTATCAGATAACTGCCTAGAACAGGCCTGGTCAACCCTGCTGTGTTTCTTAGAGTTTTTGGAATTCATTTATCCCAGGTCATTTAGTGGTTGCATCATCACATAACAATGCTCCTGTTTTTTTAAATCAAAATGCAATTTAGAGCTGTCAACCCACCCATTCATTCACAATCAAGACTCATTCATATGACTGTTGCTTTAAGTAATTTCTTTCAGATGCACCAAAACAATTGTATTATAAATACAACTCGATTTGTCTATCATATCGCATTGAAGAAAATGTTTTAGTAGAAACAATTCAATTATTTTTTAAAAATAATTTTATTAAGCTTTTTAATAGAGTTTAAAAGCAAGGTAAGTAAGGATGAAGAAAAATAATAAGTTAATAATAATAACTATACTAATAAAATAATAAGTAAGAAAAATATAAGAAGAACTAAAAGGGGAAAAAAGAATGTCATAAAGAACTTTCTTCAATTGTCTTAACTCTAGTTATAAACACGTTTATATTTTACCCTCTCTAGGGTTCATCATAATTTTCTTCTTTCCATAATCTATCCTTCTTAATAATCAAATCCAAAAATCACAAGTTCATTTCTTTCTTTTTTCCAACAAAAAAAAATCGATAATGAAGAAACAATTCAATTCTTCAATCATAACTTAGTGGGCTATGCTTGAAAATACAGTCACCAAGTAGTATCTTACAACTGATCATTGGAAACAAGTACTATATACATTAATCCTAGAGAAGTGAAACTATTAGTTTTCCTTCTTACTATATTTAGTCATCCAGCCAATCTTTCTCCAGACATGGGAATTAACAACTTGATTTTTAAATCCCAAAATTCTCTTCAATGACAAATTCAGTTCTCCTTATTTAATTCTTGTCCCACACAATAAAAATGTCAGCATTTATAAAACACATATGTTTTGAGAACATCTCTTTCAGTGGCATTATCTGTAAATTTTAGTATGTCTTCTATAACATCTTGATTAGAAAACCAAAACTCTAGTTTCATTTGCTGAACTTTTCTTATCCTGTTCTTGTTCTACAGTCTTTCAGAGGAATTTCACTCATATTCTCAAACTTAACCCTTCTAATAATACTGCTATTTGCTTTTCTTGCCAAGTCTGGAATATTTTCCATTCGCTTTATGGAATTATTCCAGGGAATTATGTGTGGAAAGAATAGCCAGCATCGCAGCTGGCATTTCTCCCCTACAGCATCTCTGGAACAATCCTGTGTTGTGTTGTAGCACAATTCTGAAGAAGGTATTCTAGAAAAAAACAAGATGGTAGCCCCAGTATGCCCCTCCCCAGGTCCTCATCATCATAGTAGGGTGGAGGGTATTTATGGGAGGGATGAGCAAAGAACATACTCTGAGCAGTATTTTTCCAAGACATGGGGGTCATCCCACATGTCCAATTAAAACAAGCAGGGACGTATATTTTCCAACAAGATCACATAGAAAGAAAATATAAAATTATTGACAATATATTGCTGAATGATGGTACCCTCTAGTTGGATCACACTCTACATGCTACTGAGGAAGAGCTGAGGATCTTTTCGAGTACTAATGGTATTTATGATGTGCCTAGATTAAAGCTTTGGGACATCTAGTTGCTGACCTTGCTATACAGGAAAAGAAAATCTGAAGCTGCAAAGACAGAATTACAGTAGGAACGTGAAACATTAAGAAGCATGACCACAGAAAGCTCAGTACAGGAAAGAGGAAGTGAATCAACAACAAATTGACCTCTTAGGCATCAGCAAATCAGACACTTTCAATTAGAAAATCATGCTGTTTATTGTTGAGGATATGAAAAACAAAGAAGCGTTTTGCTTTTATAGTTAGGAAGGGTATAGCAAGAACAGTACTTCACTACATTGCAATTAATGACTGACTAGTACTGACAGTAATTTGTGAACAATCCTTTATCATACAGATCATTCAAATGTAGGCTTTAGGCTCAACAGAGGCAGACAGATCTGCATCTACACTTAAACTTCAGTTTGAAATTGATGCTGTTTGTGATTGGAGACTAGAATGCTTCAGTTGGAAACACAAAAGACAAAATGTAGTTGGATTGTACGGTTTTAGAAAATCAAAATTCAGCAGGGGACCAATTTATCCATTTCTGCTACTCCAGTGACTTCTTCATAACTAATGTAGTCTTCAAACAAACAAAACAAGCCTCTATATATGGACGTGACCAGATAGAGTATATAGAAATCAAATTGAATATATTATTGCTTAAAAGAACGATAGAGGAACTCAATTATAGCATCAAAGACATGGCCAGATGCTGACTTTCCTGATCCTAAAAGGATTTTGCTTTGTTAGTTAGGAAGGGTATAGCAAGAACAGTACTTCACCTTTCTGGTTCTACTGTTAATGCTTTATTTTGTGTCAAGAATTGCAATGGGTGTGTTGTGTCCTGCTCATTTTTCAGGCCACTTTTTGCACAGTTCTCTTCTCTCTTATTGTATGTTTCTTGCACATCTATGCATTTCTATGCCTCTCTGCTTTTATTCATTCCTCAAGTGTTTTTTTATTCTATAAGGACCAATTTTCTGCCTAAAATGGGAGATTTTACACTTTATTTTACTCCTGGATTCTGGATTCTTCTACTTTTGTGTTTCTTCCTTAGATTTTAATGCTAATATATCTTTCTTTGGCTAGTTTGAAGATATTTTGCAGTTTAATGTAAGAGAAGACAAGTTTCCTCATTTAGCTGAAGGGGTTGGCAGTTGGATTTTAGTTCCAGTCTTTCTAAAGGCAACAAATAAACTCATAGAGAATAAGGCAAGTCATATATAGAACATATCTCATGTTCTCTAATGGAAGGTATAGACTGACTGACTGACTGACTGTCTCCATCCATCCATCCATCCATCCATCCATCCATCCAATTTGCAAGATGATCAGAGAGCTAATTTGCTTTAAAAATCTAATTAATAATAATACTTGAGGTCCTGATATGCCTTTAAAGAGCCATTTTTCATTTTTTTTAAATCTGTCTTTTTCTTCTTCTGCAGGTTCCTTCAGTTATTATTTGTGAAGAGTTTATTTTAATTAGAAATTAAACAATACACATTTACTTCATAAAGAGTGGCAGCACTTAGCAACCTTGGCTGATCTCTAAGGCTAGGAAGGTTTGGATTTGATTAATATTTGAATTAATAAAGTGGTATCTGAAGTCTATAACGCCAAGACAAAAAGTAATAGAGAAGCATGAGCAAGATGGATGGAGTCAATTAAGTGGTAATGGGGCACCACTGAGGACCCGAAAGACCTGGTTGGAGAAAGCTTATTATGGACAAAATCTATGTATTTGGTTTCTAACAGCAGACATCAAACTCATGGCACATAATCAATCAATTTATATTTCGACTAGCGGCCATCAAAAAATCCCAAAGCTCCAAACTACACCGATAAAATTTAAAAAATCACTCTTGAAGAAAGCAGTGGCAAATTAATTTTATCTTTTCATCAAGATAAATTATGTCCACATAATTAACAGGGATTGAACTTAACTCATGGGAGATTTCATCTTAGTTCACTTTTACAGTTTATATCTTCTTTAATACAGAGATAAAAAGTTTGCATGATTTGGTTCTAGATCATGTTGAGTTGAGTTGAGTTTATTATATTTCTATGCCGCCCTAGTCCCCGGAGGGACTCAGGATGGCTCACAACCAAGTTGGGGGGGGGGGTACAAATAAGAAAAAAAAGAACACGAACATGTAGCATTACATCAATGCTCTGCTCAGATTGCTGTTATTTTGCCACACTTGAATGTTTTTCTCAAAAAGGGATTCATATAATGAATGATACGGAGATACAATTTCCTGAGTAACCATAATATGAAATAAAGCATAATATGAAAACAAGGTAAGAATCTTTCTGAGCATGCTCATAAATTAATCTATCAAAGCTTGGATCAACACCTAGTGAGAAAAGTGCTCATTAAAGAGTTATTAAAAATATTCAAGAAAGCAAATGGGATAAAGTAAGGTGATGTGCACTAAAAGTATCCTAAGCAACTTTATATAATTTATTTCCAATATTCTACTAGATTAGAATAAAAACAGAAGACAAAATATTTCAGAAATGTTATTATTATGAATCCGACTCCAGTGCTTTTTCTCATTTTCATTGCAATCCTATAAAAATATTTTCAAATGTGAACCCCTCTGATTTTACTTTCAAGCAATATATATTTGTACTTTAGACCTTTTCAAAGTCCAGCCAGAATTCCTATTTTACATCAGATATCAGTTATTTATGCATTTTCCTCTTGATCTTCAGCTAATGAGAGTCCTTTTCTCCAACAAACAGATTACTAGCCAATGCATACAAGTTCAGCAGCATGCACTATTTTTCAAGCTATCCTGCATTTCAAGAGCTGAAGTGAGTGGCAGTTCAGCAACTCCTGGTGACCATGGGTTATAAATGTAATTAATAAAAGTGATATCATATTTATTTTTTAACCCTCCACCAATGAAATCATTAGTTTATTCAAAGATAATGTCAGTAAGAAACTAACCTTAACTTTGTCATTTTTAAATTTCCAAGCATTTTTGTTTTTACATCAAACTGTTTTGTTTGTCATTACACTGACACGATAGTTTACAAGAGGGCAAAAAATCGGCCTCATTCATTTATCCAAGATATATATAAAAAAAGATGTGGACCTACCTATGTATGTTGCCTTCAAGTTTTTTCACTTTCAGCTCATCTTCTTCTGACTGTCTCTTCCTGGCTTCTTCCTCGGCCGGAGAACTTGCAGGAATTCCCTGCATCAGCCATTTTTCCCGAAGAGCTTTTGACTGGGTGAGAGATAACAGAGGAAAGAAAGAAAGGGGAAAAAAGCACACAAGATATCAGAAGTGACATTAGAAGAATTCTGCTCATAAATATTTGATAACCCTTCTTAAAGCTACCGGTTAGTGCTTTCAGCATTAGACTAATTCATGACTCCCTTAAGGGACTAATCTAGATCCCTGCTCAGCCAAGGTGTCACATCTAATTTATGAAAAAAAGGGCTGTTGATTTTATGTCCAGAAATAGTTTTAATTTGCAACAGTAAGAAGACAAACAGATAAAATGAATCAACAACTCAAGGACAGAAATTTTGAACTCAGCTAAAGACTTTTAGAGGGGAAGGGAAAGAATCATATTAAAAGAGAACAACTAGCACATTATTATTATTTATTATTATTTATTAGTTTTGTATGCTGCCCACTCTCGGAAGACTCCAGGCGGCTTACAATAAAAACAATAAATAAACAGTTTAAAATTGCAACAACATCCACAACTTGGAATGGGGCTGGACAATTCAACAGCCCCAGGGCTGCCGGAACAACCAGGTCTTTGTCACTTTACGGAAGGCCGGAAGGGTAGTAAGGGTCCGGATCTCAACGGGGAGATCGTTCCAGAGGGCTGGAGCAGCAACAGAGAAGGCCCTCCCACGGGGGGCCGCCAGTCGACACTGACCGGCCGATGGAATCCAGAGGAGGCCTAGTCTGTGCAATCTAATCGGTCTATGGGAGGTAATTGGCAGGAGGCGGTCTCTCAGGTAGCCAGGTCTGATGCCATGTAGGGCTTTAAAAGTAATGACTAGCACTTTGAAGCGTGTTCGGAGACCAATAGGAAGCCAGTGCAGCTCATGGAGGATAGGTGTAACGTGGGTGTACCTAGGTGCACCCACAATGTCAGCTTCTGCTTTGCTGTTGCTTCAGCTGCCATTGAAACGGGGAGGGAGGGCATAGTATTTTGGGTGGGGTTACTCGT